TTCAGCAAGGACTCCCACAACCATTGCTTGGGATTGAATGGAAACCTCTCTCCTGGCTAGGGCCAGTGTATACCAATATGAACTGTAAAATGTTGACATTTGGCGTGGGAGGGGGGAATGAAGGGAAAGTTCGGGTCCTGACTCCTCTAGAGAGATGCCAGAACAGAAGGCACTAACGTGCAGATTGTGTGTATGTCTCTGTCCCTTGTTTGCATAACCTGCGGGTGGAGGGTTTTTGTGTGTTTCATATCCCGTATATGTGAGTGTAGCCTGTTTGTGTGTGTGTGTACATTTTGCAGTTCGAGTGTGCATGTGTATATGTCGTGTGTGGGTGCATGTTTTGTGGTGTGTGTGTATCTCATAGTATATGTGTATGTATAGCGTGTGTGCGCCATTGGCTGCTGCATTTTGCCCACAAAATATACAGTCAATTCACTTTACAGTATATTCTGTGAAGCGCTTTAAGACGTCTCGAAGATGTGATAAGGCACTAAATCAAATGAAAGCATTATTATTATTATTGTTAATCGCCTTCTAACTCTGTAACCTCAGCTCCCCTACTCTCCATTACTCCCGCCCTTTCCGGCTGCCTTGAAATGACGTCCTGACCGGTCGATGTATGTGCACTTACCGCCAGCTCCATTAAATTGTGGGAAACGTAGTCCTGATCTGTTAATGCACACTCAGAAGTACTTAATTTCTTGTGATTCTTTGGGATTCCAAAGCTTGTGGCGACGGGTCAAGGTTAATTGAATCGCGGGAAGTGTAGTCTTAACCCAACACCGCATGTGCACTTTAAATTTCATGCGTTTTAAATTACGCATGTGCAGTGTAGATTATTAATTAAATCGGATTTTCTACGACATACAATTTGCCTGCAATTTGGACTTCGGGTAAGTCATATTAAATGTTATGGTCTCGACTAATATGACTTGTGTGAGTTTTACTGTAGTACACTGAAAAAGTTGCTGAGTGCTTGAAGTACCAAATCGGTGTGCTGCCTGATGTCTGTTCCTGGAAGGAGTTAGGAGAGGCCAAGTATCTCTTGCTGCGGGAGGTGACAGAAAGAGGGAAAATTGTGGAGGATCGTTGCTGTGATGCAGCACTGCCAGAGGCCCTGAGAGCATGTTCCAACGTCCCTTCTTGCTCCGATTAGTTGGTGTTAGTGTGGATTCTTGGAGACGAGAGAAGTCAATGACTTGATCTTATCTTAGTGGTGATCCATTTGATTACAAGTGAAGAGTGCCGAGGAGTTCAGATATTTTTATAGAACAATGTCATCACCTGGCGATGACGACAGGCATCTTTTGATTTCCCAAAACGTCTGTCAGCTGAGGCTACAGGCACTTGAGGATTTATTTATGGAGGAATGGAAACTGAGGGTAATTCTAAGTCTAATTGAGAACTTCAAGTGGGTTATATACAGAACAGTAGATATGTGGGAATAGTTAGAAGCAGATTGCTTACATGTACAATAATCCAGTAGATAGCCAGGAGTGATTATAAAACAGTAATCTAATTGGAGGATGCAGATTGTGTGTATGTATAGAAAAGTAGATATATGGGAATGATCACAGGGAATGATCTAACCTAGGAAGTGTTGTGTATATAATAGCAGATACCAGGGAGTGATTATAGGGCAGTGATCTAATCAAGGTGTTCAGATGGGTCATGTATAAGACAGTAAATGGTAAACGATCCAATTGAGGGGTTTAGGTGGTACATCAGTGAAGTAGGCCCAAAGTGTTCTTTGGTAAGGTAACAGGGTAACAGTGTTCTAAAGGTAAGGTAACAGGGTACAAATCATTTTGTTTTCTAATCATTCTCTTAACCAATGCATTTGTGAGTGATGGTGAGGTTTACGTCTCTGTGCGGATGGCTTTGTCAGTGAGTGGTTGATGTGTGTGGATGATCTCAGTGCGTGCAATGACTGGCTCAGTATCTCTGTCTGAGTGAGAGATTATTCCCAGTTGATTACTAGGAAGTTCTTCAGCCAGTGTGAATTATTATAAATGGGTGATTTGCCCATGCATGAAGCGTGCTTTCTCAGAGAGGAGAATGAATAATGTGATGCACACAGTGAAGCAAGTCAGGCTGGTTATAAAGCGCTTGTATGTTTTCTGTGTTCTGATGTCCTGCTGGTAATGCTATATTTAAATAGAAGCACTATTATATGCTTGTTGTATATTTTGTCCTTGGAACATGTTGAGCCATGGGAAATTTTTTAAATAAAATCAGAAAATGCTTGGAAATTGCACAGCAGGTTGACCAGCATCTAAAAGTGACGGCGAGGTCAACATTTTGGGTTTGACCCTTCGTCTTGTTGAATGCACGTCACATCTGAACCTCTCTCTGTTTCAGACCCTGACTGATCTGCTCGCATTTCCTGAATCTATTTTGAGATTTCCAACATTTCTCTTTTTCCATTTGATCTCTTCTTTTCAATGGGTGTGTGGTTTTAACACGGCTTTTAACTTGAACCTAGTTTGAAATGAAAATTGTAATTTACATGATTGCTTTCCCTGCTGTATTTAACTTCACCTTATAAGAGAGACTGACCTTTACACAGACACATAAGGTTGGTCTGGCTTCCTTCCTTTACCCGTCAGCTTGGCTCAGTTGGTAGCACCTCTTGTCTGAGTCAGATGGCTCAAGCCTTTTAAGCCTTTGAGCTCGCAGTCTAGGGTGATACTTTAGTACAGTACTTTCTGTTGCATTATCAGAGATAATACTTGCATTTGGTATTGTGCCTTTCATTCAGGAGTATATGAAAGGGGATACACAGGATTTACTGTGAAATGGAGTGACTGTATATTTGTAGGTGAAAGCGAAAGCCCAATTGCACACAGCAATATCCTACAAACAGACTGAAAAAAAGACCAACTTTTTTATTCGGGGGACTGTTGGCCAGGTCATAGACATAATGTTCAATTCTTGTTCTTGGATCCCATACTTGGAAAATAATTTTTAAAGTATAAATAATCTTAACCCACATCATGTGACAATGCAGACCAGGACCTCATGATATCCTAATAGTGATAGTTTGGAAATTGTACACTGTAGTTTGAAAGGAAATAGCACTATTTTAGCCAATAGGATATTGTTCCCCTGACTGCTACTTTGGTTTTTCATCTCCCTTTGCTCTACTTTCTTTGATACATGGTCTTGCTGAATTATTTCGCTACAGTACACCAAAGTAATTGGATAGGAGAGCACAGGTTCAGGGCTCTGAAGGACAAGTTGAGGACAGACCCTGGAAAATATTTCTTTACACAGAGGGAGAGGGTAATGAACAGCCCAAATGGATACCCAGAAAGGATGGAGACCAGAATATTAGCTATTTGAAAAACAACTTAATGATATAATTGCAAGATGGTAGGGTTGGTATGAAATCAAATAGGCCAGAGGGCATAAGGATATAAGAAATGCTAGATGAAGAAAAGACCAAAGTCCATCTTGTTTGCCTTTCACCTTCCTGGCAGTCACATGCACATATGTCTCTACCTATATACTATATCCTTCATCTGAACCTCTCGTGATCTGTTAGAAAAACCTTCTTTGGGATTGCTTGGTGCTGAGTTGGAGCCTTGCTTTTTGACCCCCCTTAGATGTTGATTTGAACCCATCTCAGACGAATGGGTTCAGTCTCTGGCACTTCTAAGTGAAAGCAAATTCACTTTGGTCTAGCTGAACCTTGGCTGGGGCTGCAGCACAGAACTGCTCCCAGCTTAGCATAAATCAATGGCAAATTAGCAATTATTCACTTCAATTGTGGATAGTGCAGGAAATGTCTCACTGGTGCAGTGGAGGTTGCTCTGAGGTTGTGGTTAAGGCTCACTGTTGGAACAGAATAGAGAGTGATTATCTCTGTATCTGCTCAGGCTTGACTCGGACATTGGTTTCTCTTATCTTGAGAAACGCACAACAGAAAGAGAAAGCTCAAACCAGGCAGAGAAGTGCTGAAGTCCTGCAGTTCCAGGGCGCAAGTTTGTTATTGATCAAATGTATTTACTCTTGCATGAACTCTGGCAACCAGCTCACTTAAAGCTGCTGCTTTTCGGTTGTCGATAAAAGAAGCATTAGCATAAGTTGAGAGTCATTTAACATCATTTACTGTTAACGAACTATGAAGTAAGCAGCAATACCTTCTGTGTATAAACTGGAAAGCCGTACACTTGTTTTATGATTAGTTATGATTATTATCTGGACTTTATATTGGAAATTCCTGGTACTTTCCTGGTTTATTGTCTTCTCCCAACATGAATGACATGAGAGGAGACCTGGAGCTTTTCCTGAATGTCTGGCTGCTTTGCTCCTCAGCGTTCACATCCCCCACCTTCCCGGTTCCACAGTGACTGAGTCCGGGACTGAGTCCGTTTAGTCCCGGACTCGGACCTCAGCAGAAGAGGCATCGGATGGTCCAGAGTTCAACCAACGGCGCAGACACAGAGCATGTCTCTTTATCACTGTGTGTCGGCCCACCTTGGCAACGTCATCAGAGAGCTTGCAGTCTAAACCGGGCATTGAAACAAACAGCGACTTGCAAAGATAGAATGTCAGTTCGAGGTGGGAGAGAAAAACATTTTAAAAATAAGTACATAACCTAGAGTAAAGTTAAACGCGGACACACTAAATCAGTGTGTATTTATATGCACGCAGTGTCCGATTCCTCTCCCTCACCCACACCACACGCACAATTAATCAGCTTATGTATACATTCAATTCTCGTAAACTGTTTCTCATCAGTAAAAATGGTCTCTCTCTCTGTACGTATAGATTTGGAATTGCTGAAAGCTTTTTATTTTTGTTTATCAAGCAGGGTAGTTCTTGAAATGGCAGCAATTGACTCGGTTTCGCCTGCCGTTTGAAACTGAACGCCTTGCTCCTGCCGTGGCTGCAGGTTTGCCGTTGCAGTGCCTTCTTCAGTTGTTAAACAGCTTCCTTTAACCAGTGCAGTGTTGTAAGCCTCACTTCCTTTTTGAAAACTACCGGGCTGCAGTCGTAAGCTTGGTAGCTGCGTGACAGCTTCTTGAATTCCTTTGCCACAAGAAGGGATCGAACGTGTCTCAGTCGATCGGGACATGAAATTGTAAGTCATTTGGAGGCTTATGTTTTTTTGTGCAGAATCCTGTCGCGGCGGTTGGTGAGGCTGGTGAAGATGCAATGCTATTTATAACGCATCTTAATTGGGCCTGTGCAGAGAATGTTGGTTCTCTTTGACAGGATATCCTGGTAGAAGCAGTGAACAGGCATGGTGTGCTTTCGCCCTTAGACTGCGCTGGTCTTGGCTGCCACTGAAAAAAAAAGGTGCGGTTAATCTCCCGACTATAACGGCTGGCCTTGCCATTGTGAGAATTTTTTTTAAAATGGTATCGACAAATGTACCATGTTGTGTTTTTGTCTCCATCGGGTTGAATTTGTGATGAATAGAAATGTCAGGAATGGAAACTAATTCGGAACACTGATCTCCAAGTAAATTTTTCCTATGAATTCCAGATGAATTGCAATAGTAAAAGTATGAAAAAAGTGACATGAATGTATGCTTTGAGTGGTGATTAGTGACAGACACACTTTGTCATGTGAAATGAATGGATATTTACTTGTTGGTGGTGAGTGCTCCATGATTTTGTGCTCCAGGGAAAAGGGCAGGAGTCAGAATAAGGCAGAAATTCAGTCTAGTGATTCTGATGACTTCTTAAACGACAGGAGTGAAAATCAAATGAGTTATGAACATCAACCACTTAACTCCTTTAAGCTCATCTTGTCTCAGTTGTTAGCACTCTCATCAATGGCTCAAAAGATTGTCCGGTCAAGCCCCACATCGAGACTGGGTTAGTGGCTGACATTCTAGTGCAGGTATGATGTTAAACAGAGGTCCGGTTTGCCCGCATGGGTGGACTTACGGGATCATAGAATCTTACAGAAAGAGGCCATTCGGCCCATTGTGTCTGTGCCTACTTTTCGAAAGAGCACTAACAAGGCCCACTCCCCCGCTCTTACCCTATAGCCCTGCAATTTTTTTTCTTTTTCAGTACCTGTCTAATTCCCTTTTAATAGCTACTATCGAATTTGCTTCCACCACCTTTTCAAGCAATGTATTCCAGACCGTAACACCTCTATGGGTAAAAATTCTGCTTGCCTCCCCTCTGGTTCTTTTGCCAATCATCTTAAATCTGTGTCCTCTGGTTACTGATCCACCCTCCAGATTTTTAAAGATCTTGTGACACTGACAAGAGAAGGGAGTAATTTCCTGAGTCCTGGCCAACAGTCCTCCAGACAAAGTTGGCATTGGCTTCACGACTGGTTGTGTGACATTGCTGTGCAGCAATTGCTGCGTCGTTTCTTTGGAGACCCACAAGCCTCTGACGTCAACAATTTAAATCTCAGTCAAACTTCTAAGTTATTTCCCTTCTTGAAAGACTGAATTTATTTATTGAAATTGATTTGGGATTTCCATTGATGCATTGACACAGTGCATATTTATTAATGACCCAATCACAACAAATTCCATTTGTGTGCTACAACCTTGGAAATGATCATCCTACCCTTCCGCCAGGGCTCAGCCCGATACCCCAAATACCCAGGATTATTTTCTATAAATCCCAGGATTTTAGGAGCACCGTTAGCAAGCCAGATCCTGGGATTGTGATTCCTGGGATTGCAACCCCTACCTCTGGGGTGTAGAATGACAGCTTGCACACAGTTGTGGGCATCCTGCCTTCAAAAGGACATTGGTGCATTAGAAAGGATTCAGAGAACAGCAAGACAGTAAGTGACACGAGGGGAGAGAATTCCAGCTCTGACCTTGTGCTGATTGGAGAAGAAATACAATCTGGTTTAATAAAATGAAAAGATTTCATTTCAGCTCTTTGCCAAAGCCCCACGATACAAGGATGTGGATGAAACAAGCACTTCCAGATGGCTGGCTTGCCATAGGCTGCCCGAAAAGTTCTGTCAGCCACGCTGAAAAAACCCCAACTCAAGCAGGAAACTGTGAGGTTTGGGACTTTAATTGGCCTTCATGCTCTACGTTCCACCATTGGGTTCCGTGCTTTCAACGACTACTCCCTGAAAATCTGGAACACTCTCTCTCAATCCCTCTGCCTTTCCCCCTCCTTCCCCATCTTCAGGTCGCACCTGAAGACATTCCTCTTGGACCGTGCTTACAGTCACCTCCGCCTAGCCCATGGCTCGGAGTGTTGCTCCGCCACAGTCAAACTCTCTGCGTGAGAGGCGCTATGTAAATGCAAGTTGTTGTTGTTGGATCTTCTTGGTGAGCTGTTCCAGTTCATGATCACTTTCTGGGTGAAGAAATACTTAACATTGTTTGTTTATAAATTGCTCTACACTAGCCTGAATCTCTGCCCTCCCGTCTCGCTGTCTAGGAGCACCGGAGCACATTGCTCTGGGTTTATTTTCCAGTTGTCATTTAGCATCTTATCTACCTCCTGTATGGTGAGGCGTTGCTGTTTTGTGTAAAAGAGCCCTAGTCATCCAAATGCTGACAATAGAGATTGTGTGATAACCAGACTATGTTCCTCTTGTAATTGGTTGCACAACATGCTCTGCCTACAGCTGTCTGAGCAAGTCTGTGGGAGACTTCCTCAACCCTGTTATCTCCCCTGTTCCTGCAGGGCTATACCTAGGCACACATCCAGAAGTCCACATCAGTAAGTGAGTAAGTATATTACAGAGTGCGTGTGGACTAATGCTCTTAACAACAACAACAACAAAATGACATTTGTATAGCGCCTTTCACATCTGGGGAATGTCCCAAGGCGCTGGATAATCAGTGTTTCGACCCGAGCTGAGGGTTGGCATTGGAGAGGGTGGAGGGCAGGGGGCGGAAGGAGGGTGACCGAAGGCACGGTTAAAGAGGAAGGTCTTGAGATGGGTCTTGAAGGAGGCAAGGGAGGGGGTGAGGCAGAGGGACTGCGGGATGGAGTTCAGAGTGTGGGTGCCGAGTGGCGGAAGGCCGCCCGCCGATGGTGGGGGGGGGCGAGACGGGAGACATGAAGCAGGCCAGAGCCTGCTGAGCGAAGGGAACGGGCAGGATGGTAAGGGGTTACGAGGTCACAGAGGTAGGAGGTGAGCAAGGCCATGGAGTGCTTTGAAAATGAAGACCAGGATCTTGAACTGTATCCTCTGTGTGATGGGAAGCCAGTGGAGTCGGGCGAGGATGGGGGTGACAGGGTCACGGAGCCTAGTGCGGGAGGGGACACGGGCTGCAGAGCTCTGGATGATCTGCAGCCATTGGAGGGAGAAGTTGGGGAGGCCGACAAGCAGGGAGTTTGCGTAGTTGAGCCTGGGTGTTATGAATGCGTATGTGAAGGTCCCGATGGCCTATGGTGTGAAACAGTGGCGGTAGCTGGGCGATGTTGCGGAGGTGGAGGAAGGCAAAGCAGATCATGCCACGGATGTGGGGTAGAAAGGACAGTTGAAGGTCAAACAAGGTACCAAAGATACCGGACTGGCTCGATGAGGTGGAGTGTGCATCCTCTTAAAGTGCCTTCATTCAATCCTGAGGTATACTGGAAAGAGTTTTGGGATAATACTAATGGTCCTAAACAAATGCCAGATTGCTGACTTCACAAAAGAACTTCCAGGCTTCAACCCACCCCAGAAACAATGATCGTCATTGAACTATTTCAAAACATCACATGACAGACGCGGTCATCTCTTACACCTCTGGAGGGGGAGAGACAACGCACAATGGGACTGTGGCCACCAGTCGCAGACTAAGAACTACATTGTAAAATCAGTGCCTGCTTGGATCATTTACTGGCATGACTTACACCAAGCCGCTTCCGAAACTATCCACTGGCTCACTCATCTGGATTTGGTTATTTGAACGTTGCTGATCACCTCTCTTGCCATACGAAGGTAGTTGTGAGCAAGTGAACACTCGTATGCACACTTCTGCTGTGCCCTGAGCCTGATGTGAAATATTGCATGTGCTTTGTTTGTTTGTCAGTCAGCCATCTCGAAAAGCACAGTCTTTCGATGCTAAATAGATGGACGGCTGGCTGGCCCTTACATCCTTCATGACATGGTGAACGTGTGTTTGTTTCTGAGCCTCCCGAGCTGTCCTTATATGGCACTGTTAATAATAATAATAATAATCCTTGCATTTGATATAGCGCTTTTCACGTCGGGAGGACGTCCCAAAGCGCTTCACAGAATATACTGTAAAGTGAATTGACTGTATATTTGTGGGCGAACGCGGCAGCCAATTGCGCACAGCAATGTCCCACAAACAGTCGTAGATTGAAAATGACCAATTTATTATTGTTTTGGGTTTTTGGAGGGATTATTATTAGGCTCTGTGTGGAGTAAGGAAACTTGCCCAAGGTTTCGCCCTGCCTGGAATTGAACCCAGGTGTCTTGCTTGCAAAGCAAGTGCTCTAACCACTGAGCTACAGGACTGTTGAGTACTTCAGTGTGTTAATTCCAAGTGTATACAATAAATCCGAGCTCTGATTGCTAAAAATAATAATTGTACAAGGCAAGTTTAGGACAGCCCCAGAATGTACTTTATATAATATAATAATGCTTGCATTTGATATAGCGCTTTATCACGTCTTCGAAAGTGAATTGACTGTATATGTTGTGGGTGAAGTGCAGCTGATGCTGTAATGGGAAGATGATCGGTTGGATTTTCAAGAAGAATCTGGTTAAATCTGCTGAATCTGTGTGTGTTTATGTGGTACAGAGCGTCACAGCTCATTTCAGCGTGAGAGTTAGTCTGTTTCAATATGTGAGTTCATGTGATACTGTTCAGTGCGTGAGTGGGTTTGTTATACAGTGGGTCTGTTACGGTGTGTTGCAGAGTGGGTGTGTAACTGCGTGCACCCACGCAATGGTGAAAAAGGGGAGTTGCAGGTCTCGATACTCTCGACAGCCTGGAAAGCCGCTGTGTATGGGACCTTGCCGATCGAACCTCCCTGCCCGGTCGGTGTTATCTAGTGGACATCACACTCTGATGTCAATACACACCTTTGCAAATGACAGCATTACTAACTTAAATGAAACAGGCCTCTGCATTTGATGATGTCTCAAAGAATTCACAGGTGGTTGCTGTCAAACACA